AGGTCATCATATCTTAGATTTGGTGCCAGAAGTGACCCTCGAGACCATCTTATTGAACCAGTGGCTTCATCTTAACCATTGAGAAAACTGAAGCCTGGATTTACCCAAAATGAGGAAGAGTCAGGATTTGAACCCAGATCCAAATGCTGGGCTCTGTTTCCTCATCTGACAAAGGTTTAAGCCAAGTGCAAAGTGCTGTGACTCTGCTGGTGGAGGCTGGCTAGGTGGACTTAACCTCCATAAGCACATGGGAATCACAAAAAATTATTGAGGGAGCATCAGGTCTGAACTAAATGAAGGAAGAGGCAGCCAGGCCTCCTTTGGAGTATGGAGCCCCTGTTAAGGGAAGGATGTTGATAAGGGTGTGAGAGGAGGGGCCTGGTCAGCCAAAGGATTTGGACATAGTTAGCCTGGGGCAGAAACCCGAGAGAAGGCTCCAGAGGACATAGTCACTGTCTGATGTGGGGTGTGTGTGTGTGTGTGTGTGTGTGTGTGCACACTCATATATGGCACGAACCAGAGCAGCCATGGGGGGCAGGGGGGAAAGTGCAAAGGGGAAGGTGGATTTCATGTCAGGAAAACCTTCCTCTTAGAAGGGGGACGGATTAGAAGGGAGTCAGTGGTCAGAAGTAAATTAGGCATCTGAGGAGAGACAGGGTAAGAAGGTAAATGGTGAGGAAAAATCGGATGGAGGGAAATACCCAACTCGTAATTATAACTTTGAATGTGAATGGGATGAACTCACTCATAACATGGAAATGGATAGCAGAATGAATCAAACCCAGAATCTGACAGTACACTTGTTTATAAGAAACATAATTTAAAATGAGAGGTGTGCATGGAGGAAAAATAAAGGGCTGGAGAGGAATTTATTACGCTTCAGCCAATGCCAAAAAAAAAAAAAAAAAGGCAAGGGTAGCAGTCATGATCTCAAAGGTCAAGCTGAAATAGATTAATTAAAAGAGATAAACAGGGGAACTACATTGTGATCAAAGGTACCATAGAAAAGGAAATAATATCAATACTAAACCTATATGCACCCAATGATACAGCATCCAATTTTTTTTTTTTGGTGTGGCAATTGGGGTTAAGTGACTTGCCCAGGGTCACACAGCTAGGAAGTGTCAAGTGTCTGAGGTCAGATTTGAACTCAGGTCCTCCTGACTCCAAAGCCAGAGCTCTATCTACTGCACCACTTAGCTGCCCCTACACCATTTAGCTGCTCCAAGCATCCAAATTTTTAAAGGAAACCTGGATGAATTACAGATGGAAAAAGATAGCAAAACTATAATAGTGGGGGACTTCAATCTTACCCTCTCAGAACTAGATAAATCTAAAAAAAAAAATAAGAAAGCCATCAAGGAAAAATATGGAATCTTAGATAAGCTAGATGTGATAGATGTCTGAAGAGAACTGAATGGGAAAAGAAGAGTATACCCTTTTCTCAGTGGTACATGGTATCTTTATGAAAATTGACCATATATTAGGGCATAAAACCCTTATAGTTTAATGCAGAAAAGCAGAAATATTAAATACATCTTCAGATCACAAGGCAATAAAAATTATATTTAATGAGGGACCATGGAAACTCAGATTAAAAATTAATTGGAGACCAAACAACCTAATTGTAAATAATGAATGTGTTAAAGAACAATAAATAATTTTATTGAGGAGAAAGACAATAATGAGACAACAGACAGAAACTTATGGGATGCAGCAAAAGCAGCAGTCAGAGAAAATTGTATATTTCTAAATGTTTTCATCTGTAAAACAGAGAAAGAGCAGATCTATGAATTGAGTATGCAATTAAAAAAAAAGCTAGAAAAAGAACAAGTTAAAAGTCTCCAATTAAACACCAAATTGAAAATCCCAAAAATTAAAGGGGAGATTAAATTGAACATAAGAAAATCATTGAATTAATAAATAAAATTAGGATCTTGTTTTATAGGGGAAAAAACCCAACCAAATAGATAGCCTGTTGGTTAATATGACTAGAAAAGAGAAAGAGAAGAAAACCAGATCACTAGTATCAAAAATGGAAAGGGTGAATACACCACTACTAAAAATGAAATCAAAGAATTTATTAGGAACTTTTTGCCCAATTATATGCCAATAAATTTGACAATTTAAGTGAAATGGAAGAATACTTACAAAAATATAAACTGCCTAGATTAGCAGAAAAGGAAATAGGATATCTAAATAAACCTATTTTAGACAAAGAAATTGAACAGACCATAAATGAGCTTCCTAAGAAAAAAGCAAAAGATAGATTTACAAGCAAATTCTACCAAAAATTTAAAGATCAACTAATTCCAATATTAGATAAATTATTTGGAATAGTAGGCAAAGAAGGAATCCTACTAAACTTCTTTTATGAAACAAATATGGTGCTGATACCTAGACCAGGAAGAGCAAAAACAGAGAAAGAAAATTCTAGACCAATTTCACTAATGAATATAGATGTAAAAATCCTAAATAAAACGCTAGCTAGGAGACTACAACAATATGTCATAGAGATTATACATTGTGACCAAGTGGGATTTATATCAGAAATGCAGGGATGGTTTAACATGAGGAAGACCATTAACATAATTGATTATATCAATAACAAAAGTAACAAAAATCATATGAGTATATCACTAAATGCAGAAAAAGCTTTTGACAAAAATGCTATCAAAAATGCTTGAAAGCATAGGTATAAATGGATTTTTCCTTAAAATGATAAGAAGCACCCACCAAAAACAAGCAAGCATTATTTGTAGTGGGGACAAACTAGGAGTCTTCCCAATAACATCAGAAGTGAAACAAGGATGCCCATTATCACCAATGTTATTCAATACTTTTTTAGAAATGCTAGCAATAGCAATAAGAGAAGAAAAAGAAATTGAGGGAATCAGAATGGAGAATGAAGTAATAAAACTATCTCCTTTTGCAGAAGAAATGATGATATACTTGGAAAATCCTAGAGATTCAACTAAAAAGTTAGTTGAAACTATTAATAATGTTAGCAAAGTAGCAGGATATAAAATAAACCCACACAAATTATCAGTATTTCTATAGATCACCAACAAAATCCTACATGAAGAGATAGCAAGAGATACCCCTTCTAAAATAATCATAGACAGCATAAACTATCTGAGAGTATACCTGCCAAGACAAACCCAGAAACTACATGAACATAGTTATAAAAACACTTTTTATACAAATCATATTTAAATAATTGGAGAAATATTAATTGTTCATGGGTGGGCAGAACCAATAATAATAATAATGACAATTCTACTTTAATCTTCTTATTCAATGCCATCTCAATTAAATTGCCAAAAATTATTTTATTGACCTAGAAAAAATAATAACAAAATTCATTTGGAAGAACAAAAGGTGAAGAATATCAAAGGAATATATATATATACACATATATGTGTGTGTGTGTCTATACACACGCATACACACACACAAGAAAGAGGTTTAGCAGTACCAAATCTTAAACCATTAAACAAGATGGTAATTATCAAAACTATCTACTACTGTCTAAAAATTAGAAGGGTGGATCATTGGAACAGAGTAGACATACAATTCACAGTAGTAAATGATTATAGTAACATTGTACTTGACAAATGTAAAGATTTAAGCTTGTGGGATAAGACCTCTCTATTTGGTAAAAATTGTTGAAAAAGCTGGAAAGCCTTCTGGCAGAAACTGGGTATAGACCAATATCTTATACCATTTCCCAAGGTAAGGTCAAAACAGATCCATGACCTAGATATAAAGGGAGAGATTATAAGTAAATTAGAAAACTGTGGTACATATTACCTATCAGACATGGGTTGGAGACACATTTATGAACAAACAAGAGATAGAGAGCATTGTGAGATGTTAAATGGTTAATTTGGTTACATTAAATTAAAACGGGTTGGTACAAATAAAACCAATGTAGCCAAGATTAGAAGGAAATCAGAAAACTGGGGGATAGTTTTTATAGATAGTTTCTCTGATAGAGGTCTCATATCTCAAATATATCAAGAACTTTGTCGAATGTATAAGAATATGAATCATTCCTCAGGTGATAAATGGTCAAAGGATGTGAACAGGCAGTTTCTGGATAGAGAAATCAAAACTCTATATAGTCATATGAAAAAATGCTCTAAATCATTATTGATTGGAGAAATGCACATTAAAACAACACTGAGGTACCCCCTCACACCTCTCAGGTTGGCTAAAATGAGAGAAGAGGAAAGTGACAGATGTTGGAGGGGATGTGATCTTTGCATCAGTGACCTGGGGGCCCTGCCCCAACCCACTCTCTACCTCCACTTTCTCTCCTCCTCACTCTTGCCTCCTTGGTTCCCAGGAGGCCCTTTGTCCTGGCCTTCCTGTCCAGCGAGTTGTCTACCCTCCATGCTCCCCTCCGTGAGGCAGGAGGCAGAGGCCCCCAGGAGAAACTGCTGGGAGAGGTCAGTGAGGAGTGGGCTCCAATGGGTCCCTGCTGGGGCCTGGTCCATGGGGAGACTGCAAGCCCGGCCTGGGGAAGGGTGGGCTACCTCCCACATGGCCCTGCCTCAGAACGTCCTCCCCACTCACTGACTATCCTTGGTCTAGCTCTTTGGGCCAGAGTGAATCCTAAGCCTCCCTGCCATTTCCATGGGGCTTTGGAGCCTTGTAGATGTTTTATCCTGGGTGGTCTCATGGCAGCCCAGGAGCTAGGGGCTATAGGGATTGTTCCTCCCATTTCACAGATGAGGACACCAAGGTTGAGGGAGTGACATGATTGATTTGCCCAGTGTCACACAGCTACTAGGGGTCAGTGCCAAGAGATTAACCCAGGGCTCTCTGCCTCAAAAGCCAGGTCCTTTCTCCCCTTCCTACTTACTGGCAGCAGGGTCCAGAAGGCTGGAGTGGGTGAGGGGTAGGTCTGGAGCATGGTGCTGGGGGTGGGGGAGGGATATGACCACCAGAAGATGCCCTGGCTCCTCACCGCTTTTCCAACACTGTCCCTGCAGGCCTCACCTCCCTGAGAGGCTTCAATCTGGACATCAGCAGGGCATGGCTCACACCTCCTCCGGCCAGCGGCCAGGGCCCTCAAGTGCAAAAAGTCCAACTGCATCAGGATAAGGACAACAGCCACACCTGGTGAGTTGGAAGGACACAGGCCATGGGCGCCCCCACCCACACCATGCCCTCTGATGCTCTGGCCATCCCTTTGAGAGAAGGGGGCTCAGGACGGGGCCTTGGGACACACACAACAAAGACTGAGGAGGTTGAGTCAGGTGTCAAGAGAGCCTCGAGAGGACAAAGTATCCGGGGGGGGGGGGGGGGGCGTGGGTGGGGGGGGAGCGGTGGTGCCAAAGGCTGCGAGGGGCTCAGGAGGAGAGGACTGAGCAGAGGTCAGGGGCTCAACAGTCAGGACTGGGATAGCGCCGTTCTGTGGAGTGATAGAGACAGGAATCAGAAGTGACTGCCTGGAAGGTGAGGACCGGGAGGAAGCAGAACCCTGCCAGAGGTCAGGGGCTGCTATGCAGAATCTCAGAGAGCTGAAGAGGACCCCCGAGCCTCAGAGGCCTCCAGGCCGACACAGGCCTGACCAAGAACCTCTACATCTCCATGTGGAGACCTCCGGGGATGGGGACCTCACTACTGCCTGAGGCAGCCCCCTTCCCTCTTTGGGACAGTGTCCTAGGGAAGTTTGAATAACATCAGTCCACACTCAATCTCCCCTTGGCCACTTCTTCCACACTGGGGCTCACGGTACTAAGTCTGAGCAGCTCTGGAAAACCTTGAAGGCTGCCCTTGGGTCCTTCCCTGAGCCTTTTCTTCTCCAGACTAAACACACCCAGTTCCTTCAGTACCCTTCCCTAACCTAAATTACACCCTCTGGAGGCTCTCCAAATTATCAGCTCCTTTCTGGAATGAGGCCTCCAGAACTGAACCCGGCCCTCTCCATATTGCTGAGCAGGATTGACTTCAGAGGGGCCCTCATCTCCTCTGGCTCTGTCTCTCTGTCCCTGTCTCTGTCTCTCTCTCCTCTTCTCTCTCTCTCTCTCTGTCTCTCTCTCTCTCTCCCCCCTCCCCTCTCCCCTCTCTCTCTGTGTCTCACTGTCTCTGTCTCTCTCTCCCTCTCTGTCTCTTTCTCACCTCTCTTTCTGTCTCTGTCTCTGTCTCTCTTTCTCTCTCTCTCCCCCCATCCCTCCCTCCCTCTCCCTCTCTCTCTCCTCTTCTCTCTCTCTCTCCCTCTTTCTCTCCTCCTTCCTCTCTTTCTCTGTCTCTGTCTCCCTGTCTCTCCCTCTCCCTCTCTTTCTCCCCTCTCTGTCCCTGTCTCTGTGTCTCTCTCCCTCCCTCCCTCTCCCTCTCTCTTTCTCTTTCTCTCTCCTCTTCTCTCTCCTTCTTTCTCTTCTCCCTCTCTCCCTCTCTCCCTCTCTCCCTCTCTCTGTCTGTTTCTTTCTGTCTCTGTCTCTCTCTCTGTCTGCCTCTCTCTCTTTCTCTGTCTCTCTCTCTCTCTCTTTCTCTCTCTCCCCCTCTCCCTTTCTTTCTCTCTCCCCTCTCTTTCTCTGTGTCTCTCTCCCTCCCTCTCCCTCTCTCTTTCTCTCTGTCTCTCTCTCCTCTTCTCTCTCCTTCTTTCTCTCCTCCCTCTCTCCCTCTCTCTCTGTCTCTCTGTGTCTCCGTCTCTGTCTGCCTCTCTCTCTGTCTCTGTCTCTGTCTCTCTCTCTTCCCCCCATCCCTCCCTCCCTGTCCCTCTCTCTCCTCTTCTCTCTCTCCCTCTTTCTCTCCTCCCTCCTCTGTCTCTGTCTCTGTCTCTCTGTCTCTCCCTCTCTGTCTCTCTCTGTCTGTCTTTCTCAGTCTCTGTCTCTGTCTCTGTCTCTCCCTCTCCCTCTCCCTCTCTTTCTCTCTCCCCTCTCTGTGTCTCTCTGTGTCTCTCTGTCTCTCTCCCTCCTTCTCCCTCTCTCTTTCTGTGTCTCTCTCTGTCTCTCCCTCTCTGTCTCTCTCCTCTTTCTGTCTCTCTCTTTCCCTCTCTGTCTCTCTCCTCTCTTTTTCTGTCTCTGTCTGTCTCTGTCTCTCTCTCCCTCTCCCTCTCTCTCTCTGTCTCTCTCTGTGTCTCTGTGTCTCTGTCTCTCTCTCTTTCTCTCTGTCTCTCTCCTCTCTCTTTCTGTCTCTGTCTCTGTCTCTCTCTCTCCCTCTCTCTCTCTGTCTCTCTCTGTGTCTCTGTGTCTCTGTCTCTCTCTCTTTCTCTCTGTCTCTCTCCTCTCTCTTTCTGTCTCTGTCTCTGTCTCTGTCTCTCTCTCTCTCTCTCTCCCCTCCCCACCTCAATTCAACCCAAGATCACATTAGATTTTTTGAGCTGCCTCCTCATATTGTTGACTGATAGTGAGTTCTTGTGACAGCTCCAGATCTTTTCCAGACAAATTTCTGACTAGGTCTCTCTCATTTTGTATTTGTGAAGTCAATTTCTTTTTTAACTATATTATTGACATCTTTTGCTTTTACCTCATCTTCATTCCCCAACCTACCTCCGCCCCCTCCCCTCCCCAGCAAGCCATCCCTTGTAACAAAGGACAAAAGGAAAAAAATCTGTTGGACCAAGCTAATAAGCGTGTTGGCTAAGTGTGAGAGTGTGAGGGCCCCTCTCCAAAGAGGGAGGCGGCCATCCTCGCTCCTCTGCTCTGAGGCAGGGCTCCCTCACGTAGTGGCACCACGCTCACCTCTGCGCTTGTTGGACTTTTGTCGCAGCCCTTGAATGCGTTGCTTTTCTCTTTTTTCTTTTGAAATTTTTACTTTTTTAAAATTTGATTTTCTTTTTGTTTTCAGTCCTAGATTTTGTCCCTCCCTCCATCTCCTCCCCCACCCACTGAGAAGGCAAGAATTACAATGCTCACTATATATCATCATGTGAAGTCATGCAGACATATTTCAACCTTACTCATATTTAAAAGTGAAGACCGTATGCTTCTATCTGCACTTAGAGTTCATCCGTTTTCTCTCTAGATAGAATTGCCATTTTTTTATATTGGCTCGGCCCATCCACAATCAATTAGTAGTCTTCCAGTTGTTTAGATCTGCCTTTATTTGTGTGAAAATTGTTTTGTGATTGTGTTCACATAGCTCCTGGATTTGTCTTGGCAGGTAGACTCCCAAGTATTTTATGTTGTCTCGGTTATTTTACGTGGAATTCCTCTTGTCTCTTCCTTCTGGATTTTGTTGGTAATAAATAGAAATGCTGATGATTTGTGTGGATTCGCTTTATATTCTACAACTTGCTAAAGCTGTTAATTATTTTAACTAGTTTTTTTAGTTGATTCTCTAGGGTTCTCTAAGTATATTATCATGTCATCGGTAAAAGTGAGAGTTTGGCTTCCTTATTGCCTAGTCTTATTCCTTCAATTTCTTTTTCTTCTCTTATTGCTAGAACTAGCACTTGTAGTACAATATTGAATAGCAGGGTGGTAATGCACATCCCTATTTTACACCTGATCTTATTGGAAAGGCATCTAGTTTTTATCCCCATTAAAGATGATGCTTGCTGATGGTTTTAGATAGATACTACTTATTGTTTTAAGAAAGGCTCCATTGATTCCTATATTTTCTAATGTTTTTAATATGCCATATTTTGGCAAAAAGCTTTTTCGGAGCCTATTAAAATAATCATATAATTTTTGTTGTTATTGTTATTGATATGGTCAGTCATGCTTAGCGTTTTCTTAATATTGAGCCACCGTGCATTCCCAGTATAACTCCCACCTGGTCATGGTATAGTATCTTCGTGATATATTGCTATAATCTCCTTGCTAGTGTTTTATTTAAAATTTTTGCATCAATAGTCATTAGGGAAATAGGTCTATAGTTTTCTTTATTTTTGTTCTCCCTAGTTTAAGTATCAGCACCATATTTGTATCATAGAAGGGATTTGGTAGGACTCTTGTATTTATTTATTTATATTATATTTTATTTTATTTTATGTTGTTTTGGCAAAGCTATTGGGGTTAAGTGACTTGCCTAGGGTCACACAGCTAGTAAGTGTCAGGTGTCTGAGGCTGGATTTGACTGACTTCAAGGCTGGAACTATGTCTACTGCACCACTTAGCTGCCCCTTCTGGGTTTTTTTCTTAGGGAGCTCTTTATGTCTTGTTCAATTTCTTTTTCCAAGATAGGATTTTTTAATTATTCAATTTCCTTTTTTGTTAATCTAAACTATTACATTTTTTAAAATGTTTATCTATTTCATTTTTAAATGGTAAGTTTTATTGACCTAAATTTGGGTGAAATAACTCCTAACAATTCCTTGGGTTTTTTTTTTTGTTTTTGTTTTTGTTTTTTTAGGCAATTGGAGTTAAGTGACTCACCCAGGGGTCACACAGCTAGTAAGTGTCAAGTGTTTGGTCTGAGGCTGGATTTGAACTCAGTCCTCCTGACTTCAGGGCCGGTGTTCTATCCACTGTGCCACCTAGCTGACCTCTAACAATTTCTTTAATTTCTTCTTCAATGGTGCTGTGTTCTCCCTTTTAATTTTTGAGACTGGCAATTTGGTTTTCTTCTTTCTTTTGTAAAATTAAATCAGTCAGCAGTTCATTTATTTGTTTTTTTTTCTTTCATAAAAACTAGCTCCTAGTTTTATTTATTAGTTCCATTTTTTTTTAACTTTCAGTTTTATTAATCTCTCTGAAAGGAGATTTTCAGAATTTCTATACTGGTGTTTAATTTAGGTTTTCATTTTTTTTCCTGCTCTTTTGCATGCCTAAATCATTGATCTGCTCTTTTTCTCTTTTGTTGATGTATACATTTAGAGATATATAAAATTCCCCCTACACATTGCTTTGGCTGCATCCTACAAATTTTTGTATGTTTTCTCATTGCCATCATTATCTTTAATGAAAGTATTGATTGCTTCTATGATTTGTTCTTTTATCTACTCATTCTTGAGGATAAGATTAGTTTCCAAATTGATTTTTAATCTGTGATTCAAAGGCCCTTTTTTTCCAAAATGCTTTGTTAATTTATTTTGAATTATCAACAATCACTTCCATAAGCTTTTGAGTTTTAAATTTTTCTCCCCTTCCCTCCCTTCCTCCCTCCCCAAGATGGCATGCAATCTAATATAGGCTATACATATACATTCCTATTAAACATATTTTCACGTTAGT